TTGATTTTCTGCTTTTATATGTATCTGTTTTTCTCATACTACTGTGTGACTTCTTTCATCTGGGCAAACACTGCCATTATAAAAACATACATATGTACAGAAAATAAAATAAACCTATTTCTGTCATTTGTGATGAACTGGACTGTTCAGGAGACACTTTCAGCAAACTGAAATGGACAGCAATTAATTTTTTTAAAATTTATTTTTTAAAAAGTCAGTAGTTCCTTTGGACCATCATGACCCTCTTATGAAATCTATGGAATACAATAAAGAATGCTATTATATTTGTATTTACACAGTGCCACATAAAATGAAAATGGTATGGTTACACTTCATGTTACATACACCAAGGCAAATTTTCCATTCAGTGCAAAGGACTATTCAGTAGACTTCTAGTAGATTTTCCCCACAGTGCTTGATTGACATTATCTTACAAAGACAACAGACGAGAAGGACAGCCTCGTGTACAATATAATCCACCAAATATGTGTCAAAAATGCAGTAAATTAAAAGTTTACAAAACAACCAGTCCACATTGAAATTGTATATACAGTGTTGCCAAAATTAATACTGGAAATAAAACTTTAACTTTGGATTTGTACAGTGACTATTCCATTAAAGATTCCAGAAGTATTTCAAGAATCTGCAGTTTTTGTGTTAAAATAAATAATCTTGCTTTATGCAGAATTAATATATATTAATTATATATGTAAACGTGCTACCACCTTAATTCTATTTTGTAGATCCTCATTCTACATTAAATTACATTTAAATTGAGTCAGGCACTGACATGATGCTATAGCTAATGCTTATTCTAGATGTTCCCTTTTTAAAAATAGTCCTATAAAGTGTATGACTTGTATTTAGAATTTAAATAGTGAATGTCTAATGTGTCAAAACTTTCTATAAACATCTACAGTAGTGAAGCACAATAATGACTATAATTGAGAATGAGATAAAAGCACCACTGAGTTCCATGAGTAAGACACCAAATAAGGAAAAAAAGACAAAACAAAGACTGCAGAAAATGAGGTAATGTGAATCAGAATTCAATCAGCTACTATTCATAGAATAATTCTAATGTGAAATAATCATCTAACAGTTTCAAATCTTTTACTGTTGCCCTGAAACATTTTGACTCAAAAGCTGCTTCGCATACTACATTTGTTATGCATACACATAAAAAACAGTACATGGATATAAACACATGCAGATTTGCAAATATCATTGTAATAAAGCTAACTGGAGGTCAGGAAGTAAATGCAAAGATACACATGCAGATTTGCAAATATCATTGTAAGAGGTCAGGAAGTAAATGCAAAGACAATTGAATTGGAGGGAAAGTGCTAAAATGTTCCAAGTAAGTAGCTTCTTAACTGGGGACAGAACAAATATATCCTCTATGAACTTTTGCCTTATATTGGTGAAACTTCTATGGAGCTAGGATTGGCTGCAGCTACTTGCTGCATGACCAAACTTGTATTTTTAATTCTAAAATGTGTGATCTGACATTCTAGAAGGTATCAGATTGGCTACATGCGTACATACTTGTTTAGAACAAAGTGGACTCTTCCATCAGGCAAATCTGTAATGTGATAGATTAAATATTTGTCACTGCTGCTTTCATACTTTCAGAAAATGTTGGTTTTAGTCTTTCGTTTTAAAAGGGAAGAGGAGATTGCTTGATTCATCATCTTGCAGAGGCTGTGACTATAAGAAATAATGTGCTATTAATATAACTTTCTTCTAAACAACTGTATTTAGGATTAGGTATAAATCAAAGTGCTTTGTCTTTTATCAATTTATTCCCATTTAAGTTAACTGAAATAAATTGGTTTATATGCTGTAACTTTGGTTTAAGGAGGATTATAAATTTTCCTGAAAGGTATACACAGTAGAATCTTCATATTCTCTGTTATATTCCTCCAACAATATTAATTTTATGAACACTTCATTCCAGGGGTGGTTCATGGTCCAAACATGAGGGGATGCTACCTGCTCAGGCCAGAGGCTACCTACACTTCATTTATCTCTTGCTTTCAGTAACATAATGCAAAATATAATCATGTCCCCTAAAATATTGTATTGCTAGGGAAGGGTAGAAGACTAGGGTGGTCATTTGATCGTCATGGTCCTTAGTATACTTTTTAAAGCTTGTACAATAATTTCCAATAGTGGGAGGGGGACACTTTATATATATATCAATATAAGTGGCCTAGCAAAATTAAGCTGCCCAAAAGGCCTGGGAAATTTTCTGACCATTTTAAATAGCTGAAGATTCTTGAAAAATAATTAAATGTATCTTCCTTTAACGTTTGTTGCCCTTTCCCTCCTCAGGCCAGTATTACTTATGACTGTTCCCAGCTCATACGCTATACTTGGTGCCCTCCCAATATGTTGAATTACAGCTCACAGAAACTTACAGAAAGGTCAACTGTGCTGTAGCTCAGTCAAATGAGCTTTCTGGTGGTTTGGAGCATTGCAGACCATCACATCTGGAAGGCAGTAGTTGGGAAAGGCTGTTCTAAATCTTCAAGAAAACAGTTTTCGCATAACATCTGCCATCAACTAGAACAGCCTATGGAACAATTTCTGTGAATATGTGACAGGACACAGTTCCTACTGGAGGACCCTATCTGTACTACTTCAAGCACAACTGCATAATCGACTTGTGCAAGACCACAGCATAAGCCCCAGTGAAATGGAAGGTGTTCTACAGCAGGAATACTTTGAGGAATTGCACCATACAATTAGTAAAACAAACAAACAGTAGAACTCTTTTTGAGAGAGAGGATGTCCTTCAAAAAGAGTAAAGCTACTAATTAGTAGATTCTATTTTAAGTAAAATATTTTTCCCAAATATTTTAAACTTCAGATTGGCCAGCCAATATTTATACATGCAAAAGGACAGTGTAAACAAGAAATTAGCATTCATATATGGGTCATCTCTTAAGAAAATATACTAGTATTGCACTTGACGGTACTTCCTTGCTTTCTAATAAGGTGACTTTAAGTTAGAGTCAGAATTAAATATTTTATAAATGAATAGTAGTTTAGAAAAAAAAATAGTCACTAAAATGGCAAATTGCCTTATGCAAATAGTTGTATATAGAGAAAGGTTTTCTGAATTTGCAGCATAGTTGCTGGCTAGACATCAGGAAAATCCTTCTTGGGAATATTTATCATGGTATTCCTATAAATACAGATGGGAAACACTGTTTAATCAAAGGAAAAACAAGATGTTCCAAGACTGCGTCACAAGGCCTCACAATCAAAACAAGGGAAATCCTCTGAAGGGAAGAGATGTACTGTACGAATTCATGACTACTTTCATAGAAAACAAATATCTTTACCCCGAAGGGCTTTATGAGCATAACCAGGGTAGGGTTCAGTTTGCACTCCGATCTTCAAACAACAGTACACATACTGTTAAGCAGTTACAATTTAGCTGCTGTCAAAATAACCCATTAAAGAAGCAAAATATGACTGAAAAGACTAACAGGAAACACTCCTAGTGTAATGTATGCAGGAAAGTAGCCAAATGTGTCAAAAATGTTTGCAAACAAGAACCTAAATGGGAGGAATTACTAGTTTCAGAACTGAAGCAGTTCATATTCAGAATCAGAAAACCCACCCGTCTTTATATGACTCTCCAGTATTTTGCTTCCAATATAATATGTTCAATATATTTAAACTTAATGAAAGGAAAATAGATATTACTTTTTAATGACATACTGACTTAAATATGATGTCCAGCAGTTAAGAAAACCCCAGCAGGACTTCTAAATAACTAAAGACAATAATTAAAATATGCCTGTTGTGTCCAATGTCTTTACTACTTTACAGACATAATTAACAAACAAGTTTTTTTCTTTTTTCTGTGTCAACAACTCTAGTTCCAGTTACAAAAAAAGAAAATTGCACATATTTAAACCACCTTAAAGTGCAAAGTTTGTGAACTTACATAATCATTTCACCTAAATACTACCTTTTGAAATTGTTTCTTGCCTCAAGCGGCTTTCCAGGCTGCAAACCTTCCTCCAAAGAAGAGCTGCACAGCCTTGCCTGAGTCTTCATCAAACTCTATTACTGCTGGTTTCCCTGGCATTCAGAGATCGAGGCCCTTATCCTGCAATCACATTGTCTTAAATACAGAACTGCACAAGTAGTCCAGATATTAGGTACTATTTGTCGCCTATCTGTGTTGTCCTAAGGCTTCCTGCAAGTTATTCTTGTGAGCAAAAAAATCAACTGAATCAAAAATGGAATAGCTGCACAGTGTCTTTAGACTGGTGGCAATTGTAGCTCTCCGTATGTAAGTATGGTTGCAGATATGTTAACAACAAATTAGCTTTGGTGCTACCATGACGGACAGAATTCTTATGGTAGTTGGCCAGCAATTCAATATTTGGAGCCTTCTGTGTACAGTACTGTAGTTACAATTGTAGGGAAGAGCCCTCCATATCTAGAAGTACAACCCATCCAGAATTTCCCATGGGCAAACCCCTCAGAAATAAATTAGAAAAGTCTGGCAGGAATTACGATGCACTGCTTCAATAAATAAAGCAAATTAATATACAAAAATGATGTTATGAGCATTTTAAAAAGCAATTAAATAAGAAGGTGCTGCACAACAAATAAACACAAATCTATCTCCCACCTCTTCATCTCCTACCAAATTTATTTGGATGTTTTATACAAAGAATTTCTTACATGAAGTTTAAATTCAATAGAAACTTCACAGTGATACCGGTGTTACCATAGGCTGAACTATTCCATTGACAAGATAGCTGTGCTACAGCTAGATGTTAGTATTCAAGCAACACTATTCAACCTCATCAAAGAAGACAAGTAGATTTCTAAGTAGAATTAAAGGAAGAGGGTGGAGTGGTGAGGATTTTGGATTAGAAAGGGCTACTTGTAAAACTGAGCATGACAAATGATAAGAAAAACCCAAAAGTATTATTTCATTCAGTTCTATTCCTCTCAGCATACTGCTGTCTCTTGCAGTGGTTCATAGCAACAACAATCACTTACTTCTGATGAAGTACAGAAAGTGTATCCTGTCTGTATATCTATCAAAAAGGATCACCTTTAGGCCTTTAAAGATATTTACACATGGACTACTGAAAGAGCTACATGCCTGGGACAACCTAATTCATTCAACAGGTGGAACAACCACTTGTATATATTTAAGATTATGAAATAAAATCAGAATGGAATATGTTAATTAATCTGTATGGCAAAAAATATTCTCAATTTTGCTAAGTAAGATGACTCCTTAACTATGGAGGCCCATGTCAACAGTATGCAAAGAACTATTCAGTTTCATCACAGTTTCTACCTTATGAATGATGTTCTTCAGGAAATGTGGTTAGCATTTTCCAGGATGCATATGCCTTATCACAGAGGTTCCTAAACCCCAATCTGCGACCCGGTGCCAGTCTGTGGCCTGAGCCGGGCCGCGGAGAGAGCCCTCCCTGCCCCACCCCTGCACGCACTACCCCCCGCACAGCCCGTTTACACGAGTGCTGCACCACCCTTTGCGCATGCACCCTAGCATCCACGCGAGCGCTGCACTGCCCTTTTGTGCATGTGCACGAGCACCCGAGCACACACACAAGTGTGCAAGCTCCTTTGTGCATGTGCACGAGTGCAAGGAGTGCCTTCCCCAGGGAGCTAAAAAGGTTGGGGACCACTGCCTTAGCACATTGATTGCAAATGCTCTGTAAGGGGAAGAGGAATTAATATGCAATGGCAGAATGATGCAGCTTCCCAGTTATCAAAACGAAGTCTCCTAGCTGGGATTGTTGTACAGTAGATTACTTATTTCTATTATACTCTGCCTAAACCCAAACCTACTTACTGTCATGAATTCAAGACTTGACTGTTAGGAGATCTGTGGTATAAACACTTGATTAGATTAAGGCAAAAGATGTACACAAGTAACTGGCCCATAACAGGTTCACCCCCTCCCATACAACATGACTACTCAATGAAAGCATTGGCAGGAACAACCCAGTTTTACGCATGTATACCGAGAATAGAAAAAGTCTTCATTTAGTCTGTGCAGTTAAACTGCAAGAGTGAAGATTTTACAGTTGGTTTCAAAATATTTCATATTTTAAAAATAGAAAGGCTCTGGGGTTGTGAATTCATCTTGGTATTATCGTCTTTTCTATGGCACAGACAATGTGATCCCAGTTTTTGCATAAAATTGCGAGAAGAGTTACTGCAAAAAACGTGCCAATAATGTGGAAACGGCTTCTCATCATAGGAGCTATAAACTTCGCTATGGTGGAGACACATACTAATATGACAGTCATGAAGGCCAAGACGACGTTAATACATTTTCCCAGGAGGACTTTGGCGTTAACAGTTTCTGACTGCAGGGCTTGTTGCTCTTGCTGGTGGAGTTCCAGCTTAGAAACCCGTGTCTGGCATGATTCCAGAGCCTCCTAGAGACAGAAAAAAAAGAGAGAAAGGGATAGAGGAAAAAGACTAAAGAACCACCATGTTTATCCATGAAATAGATAACCATTCAAATCCTATCAGATCTCTCAAAATTCTAATTTATGAGCTCACTGTCTTAATCTATGCATACACACAATTTAAGGCACAAGTTACAACTGTTTGATAACAAATCCACTGCAAGTCTAGCAAATGGATGGGACATTTCTGTTCTCACTAAATGAAGAAAAGGTCTACAGAGGCCAGTGCTCATTTCCACTCCCATGTCCTCTGATTATGTTGCACTATTTGGTGAAAAGGTGAGTGTGCTATAATTTATATAGCCTTTCTATGTGGTTTAATATCTTTATTTTGTTCATTCCCAGAACAGCTAGTAAAAAAAAGATATCTGGTAGCAGAGGTGTACAATCACAGCAGGTTGGAGCCTTCCACAGGGCCGTACCAGGTTCAAAAATGACCATTTTAAAATGTAAACAGGATTGCCTGGAAGGACCCAGTTGGTTCTGTTTGGAGGTGTTGTGGTGGGTACAGGTTTTGGGGACTCCCCACCAATGTTCCCAATGCAAAACCCACAATTCCTAGAGGATGCATTCCAGATGCACAAATGGGGGGGGGTGTCTTTTCCTTAACGTGGGGGTTCTCGGGTGGACAATCATAACCTCCAATTGCTTATGTCTCACTGGTTTCATGTTGACCAGCCCTGTCCGACAAGGAACTAAGGTTGCTGTCACAGAAGCAATTGTGGTAGTCATCTGTACAACTCTGAATATGGAAATTGTTTTTTTCCTCAGTCAACAAATAGCCTACTTTTTACAGAGACATCAAGTTGTTACTGCACAAACTTTTATTGATTACAGTTCACTTTGCCAGGTTTATGAAGTGTTATTCTGATAGTGAGAGCAAAGGAGAATGCATGACAGAAAATACTGATAGTGCTAATTATTAAAAATGGCCATTTAAAAAGATTATAGTGTAGACATCCTTGCACACATCAGCTGATAAAACACCTGGAACACAATAAAATAAATCACCTTTTACTTATTTAAGACGCAGGATATAAAATTTAGCCTGTAAATCAGGGGTGGGCAAAGTGCATCCCCAGGGTTGCATGCCAAGATTATTTGTGCAACTCCTTAATGACTCCACAGGGCAACCCTCCCTGCAAAACCTAGAAACCTTCAGAAGTAGTTTCCCAATAAAATGGGGCCCACATCCCCCTGAGCCTCAAAGTCATAGGAATGAAACTGGAAATGAACTTCTAGCAACACTGGGATTTCATTTCTCATACATTTTTGCTCACTTGGTAGACTGGCACAATCTCCAGTGGTCCTCGGTGTGGAAAATTGACCCACAGACCTTCTGAAGTTGCCCACGCTCTTCCAGATGAAATATATAATAGCTGCTTCATATTGCAAACTATCTTAAGAGTTCCTTTGCTCCAGAATGACCACTTTTAGAGCAGTGACCTGGTGTCTTATTCAGGGTAGCTCAAGTGTTCTCCTGCGGGTTTCCTAACTATTCTCTCTTCTGACATCAGAGGTTCAATTGTTTATTCTTTTCTATGGAGATTGCCCTGTTTGTACCATGGAGAATATGGGATCATACTGAAATATGACTAGCTCTCATTAACTCCTGATGTTTGTTATGCATGATGTTATCATGGTGGACCAGCCAACATTCAGGCTAATGATTATAATTGTGGAGTGACAGTATGGCATTTAACAACACTGTGTGCTTACATATATATGCTACTTAGCACAACACTTCAAATGTACTGCACCATTTGGAAAGTTATGCCAAAATATATTTATTAGTCTTAAAAATGCCACAACTAGGCTGAATAGCTCAACGACCTGGAGTATCTGGTTATAGAGTCAGCGGCTGAATGTTCAATTTCCCACTATGCCTCCTGGAAGAAGAGCCAGTCTGTGTAGGCTTGGGACTGGTATACCACTTCTGAGTAATTTACACCGAAGAAACTGTGGCAAGAGTCATTGTATGTCAAAAGCATATTCACTATGATTAAGATGTCACAAGATTTTGCTGCAGAAGAAATCGTCCTGAGTAGACATTGTCTAGAAGGGCGGGATAAAAATCTAATAAATAAAGAAAGAAAGAAAGAAAGAAAGAAAGAAAAGACTCTCATGGCTACCCACTGACACAAGCTTGCCCAGTGGGGTGAACAGGGCATAGTTGCCTGTGGTAGGGAGCCAAATCAACAGTATTTGACTACAGGCTAAGTCTTTCTCCCCCACCCTCGCTGCTTGCAATGACATCGCAGTAAACAACTCCAACATTTAACTGACATATTTTCTGTGTTTCAGTTTCCACTCTACTGTATTTTATTCACTGCTGTATGGGAAAGTGTGGCATCTATCTCCTTTCGTACCCATCTAACAGGAAGTGTGCCACCTAATCAGAAGGGCAGTGTCCCATTTGCCTTAATGGGCCAATCTCCACTGTGGCTACCCCACAGTGGAAGTTATTTTTATGATAAGGGACACTGCCCCTTATCATGGCTATGCTGGAGAACAAAAAAAATATGGAATAAACATAAGACCCTTCCTCTTCCCTCTTCCAAAGGTATTCTTGAATTTGAATTCAGGTCTTCCAGGCCCACAAGTATAATGCTTAATTCATGGAGGAACTGGAGCTAAAATTACTGGAAACACAAAATCATCCATTGTTTCAGTTTTAGAAGTTCATTACCTGAACATCTCGTGAACGTTCATATGCCTGATATGCTACTTTTTCTTCTATACTGGCTAGTTCTTGCTTCAAGTTGGCTGTCTCATGCTGATGGAGGTCTGTTAAATCATTCAGCTGGTCTTCTAATCGCTCATACCTTTAAAGTGACAAAAATATTTCTTAATAAAAATAATGTTCATACAAAATACAATTAAAGTGTATACGTTCTGATCCATGTCAACACTTTTTTTATACAAGGTAACTAGCTAGCCTTCCCCTGAAATAGTGGGAATGTGCTAGCTTTAGAAGCTGGGTGGATAGTACAGTGGTGTAGAGATCTGGCTGTGATGAGGAGTTTGATTCCCCAGTGTGCCTTCTGGGAGAAGAGCCAGCCCATGTAACCATGGGCAAGTTCCACAGTCACAAGGCAACCTCCCCCTCCAAAAACAAACAAACAAAACAGAATGGTAAACCAATTCTGAGTATTCTCTGCCTTAAAATATCCGAAATTGATTGCCATAAGTTAGAATTAATTTGATGACACCCAGCAATAAATGATATAGCACCTCACTAGTGCAGGCGCTTACTCTGAGCAGTTTACAGGTTAAACCTCAAAAGCCCACAAAATCCCACATAACAAAATGCATTTGACAATATGACATTCTAATAATATAGGTCTAAAATTTATACAAATTACCATTAAAATATATATTATTATTTAGATTTAACAGCATCCAGAAGAATCAGTTTCTGGAGGCAGGTTTGAGCAATTCTATTTTCAACAGCAAATACCAAATCTCCATATGAGTTCCGCCAATAGCTTCATGCAGACCTTAAAAAGTATTGGGGAAGTGGCTGACCCCATGGGACCCCCCATAACAGAGGTCCCAAGGGGTGGAGACGGTATCCCTAAACTGCATCATCCGGGACTGAGTCTCAAGCAAGGACCAGAACCAGCAGAAGATGGAGTTGCAAGTATCAGAACTGTGACTGGAAGAATTCCTGGCAATTCTGGGATCTTTAGTCAAAAAGCTCCTGAAAGTCTAATTTCTACCTGTTTTGTTACACTGCTCTGACTTTGAGTCTCCTCAAACTATGCAAAACAATTTCAACAGAACAAAAAAAAATGACATACCTGTATCTTTCTTCCTGCAGTGTCTGGGAAATAAAGCCATAATCTCTTTTGAACTGCACTTTTAAATTTTCGATATCTTCTGCTAACTGGGATTGTGTTTCTTTTATTTCCCGCAGTTCTTCCGAGAGCATGGAAAGCTTTCTGTGGCTGACCAAAGCATTTGCTGCACCATGACCAAAGGACTGGTTTCCATTACTGTCGGCAGAGCCAGATGTTCCGCTTGAGCACTCATCATCGCTGGCATATTTTGGCTTAGCCGCTATGGTGGCACTGCCGCCATAAACCCTGGAAGTAGTTTCCGGCCTGAAGTCATCTAAGCTGCTCTTCAAGTGAGCGATATTGTCAGCACTGCCAAACTTATTCCGGATCAGGTTTGCAAATTCTCTAGATTTGCTGAAAACAAACACTGGTGGTGTCAAGGAGACACCAGGAACACCCGTTTTGCTGCTCTCATTATTCTGGCCAGTAGTACGAGATTTTCCATGGGCATCTTTAAGCGAATGTTGGCTTTCTTTCAGATTGTCCTTGGAAGTTTCCTTGGTACTTTTGGAGGAACCGTTCTGTTCAATATCTTTGAGTTTCTTGTGATACTGTTCCAATTTCTTCTGCAGCTGGGCTATTGAATGGGCAGACTTCTGGTTCTTTTTTTCAAAGACCTGTTTAATGCGCCCAGCTTGTTGTTTGTCCGCACTGTTCACTAGCTTCAAATATTCTGCCACGTTCCCATCCCGAGCTGATTGTTCTATTTTGATTTGTTCTGTAACTTTCAGAATCTTTTGTCTCAAACTATCTGCACTGAGTTTTACTTTGTGAAACTCAAACAAGCCATCAGGTACATCAAAGTTGAGGTTGGTGTCTGAACCTCCCCGACGAATATTAAGAGGCAAGCTCAGAGTATTCATTTCATGTCTTTCTACCTATGATGAGATTTTAAAAATGGAAAATAGATTAAAAGGCAGAGTTTATGACTTGCTCTTCATGCTCTTCTCTCACACATAACCACAACCACACTTAATTATTTCTTCCATGATAATATTCATAATTGTAAGTAATTTTAAGCAGTAATAAGTCTATGGCACTGAAGCATGATAAAATATGGCTCTAATGCAGATGTCAGAGGGTGGGATCCATTGGACTGTTCATTTATTTGTACAGAACACTAATATACACATATGAAGCTAAATGCAACAAAACACTATTAACTTTGCATAAGGAAAATAAACACAACAGCTGATATCTTATTGCTTAGTATAGTAAGTCATAATTAGAGTAGGGTCATTAAATCAGTGGGGATTTAGTGAGTCAATTTCTGCATAACTTTCACTGTTTCAGTGGGTCTACTCTAGTTGCAAATTACTGTTAAGCAATGTATCAAAGAACAGAAGCATGTCCTGTGCCTCAAAGGTAAAGGTAAACGTTCCCCTTGACATTCGTGGGTATTTGAGGAAACATGATGTTATATTAATTCAAGAGGCATGGTGTATAGCAGAGGTCATCAACCCCCAGTCCACGGCCCACTGCCGGTCCGTTGTTTAAGCCCAACCGGGCCGCCAAGACAGACCTCTCCCCCCCGCACTCACCCCCACAAAGGTTGTTTGTGCCTGCGCGCATGCTTGTGCGCCTGCACAAATGGTGGCGTGGTCTCCCGGAGCCCAGCTGGAAAGCTAGCAGCGCGGAGGGACCCAACGGCTGAAGACAGGAGGCCGGGAAATTCAAATGGCCTCCCCACGGGGCTCTGTCTCCCACCGCGGGGTTCCTCCATGCTGCTGGCTTTCCACCCTGGCTGGAAAGCCAGCAGCATGGAAAGATCCCACAGCTGGAGACAGGGGTGGGCAGGCTTGCAAGGGAGAGCAGGCGGGCAGCAGCAGGAAGAGACCCCGCAGGATGCAGGAGCCCGGGTGATGGTGCAAGGCGAGGAGGGCTCTGCACAGCCCTGACAGTCCGCCCGCTCTCCCTTGCAAGCCTGCCTTCCCCCCCTGCTCTGTCTCCAGCCACGGGGTCTCTCCGTGCTGCTGGCTGCACGAGAGACCCCACGGCAGGAGGCACGAGCCGGGGGGGATGAGGTCTTTTGAATTTTTCCCGTGCTCTCTCGGCTGGGAGCGCATGGCCATGGGGCAAGGGGAGGAGGGCTCCGCGTAGCCTTGACAGCCCGCCCGCTCTCCCTTGCAAGCCTGCCTTCCCTCCCCAGCTCTGTCTTCAGGCGTGGGGTCTTTCCATGCTACTGGCTTTCTAGCCTGGCTGGAAAGCCAGCAGCACGGAGAGGCAGGACCCCGGGGGGAGGTCTGCCTCCCCCCCAGTTCGCCCAAGAGGTCGGCATGTCACGCACGAGCGTGAGGGGTGTTCCACTCATGTGCACAATCTCGACACGCCCACCCGTGAGCGCGAGGGGTACCCCCGCCCCCGAACCGGTCCGCACATGGAGTCCATACCCCTCAACCGGTCTGTGGTCTGAAAAAGGTTGGGGAACACTGGTGTATAGAACCCATAGCAATGGATGGATACAAAGCCTCTGATCTGGAAGCACAGCCCTCTAAGCATGGTAAGGCCAAGGGTGGCCTAGGTACCCTAGTTTCAACATCACTAAAAGTTAAAATTGATAGTTTACCCTTTCATCCACCAATAGCTATGGCAATAGTTATACATTATCAACAAGTCTCATGTATTATAATAATGTCTATCTAACACCAGCGAAAACTAAAGCGCAAATAGAGACAGAGTGGAGGAACTTGGAAGCCTATCTCTGGAACATAATACTAAATAATCCAAAGGCATATGTCATTATAGGCGGAGATTTTGTAAGAATAGGGCAGGATGATGTCAGGTTGTACTCCAGTATGAAGATATGCCCACCTGAATCAAGGAAACACTTACTGCCTCTACACAGGATGTCCAAAGACAGTAATTGAATTATGCTGGACATAAGCTAATACAGATGATCAATCAACTGAGTCTCCTTATTTTAAATGGGTCTTATCCAGATGACCACTCTGCAGAATTAACTTATTAGTCTGGAGAAAGGATGAGCATTTTAGACTACTTTGTAGTCTCTCTGTACTCCAATACATTGAGTCCTTTAAGGTTGGCGACTTTCAGGATAGCGATCATCTACTTTTGATTATGGTGCTGGATTTACTGTGGTTTAACCCATGCATCCAAGACCTTTATAAAGAGGTTTTAGTTCAAGATAAGACTGTGAAAGTGGCTAGATGGAACCCTAGAACAGAAAATAGGATAGCTAATCTGCTGGCCTCAGATCAACTAGACGATATTCTACAGGAAATCTCTACAGCTGAAAACCTGGAGGCCTGTATTGAGGGTTATGAGGAACTAACCCTAGTTATGTATAAAACCATAGATTAGGCAAACAAGTACACCACAAGAGTATACAAACAGTTCTCTGCACCCTGGTTTTATTGAGAGTGCAGAGTAGCAAAAAGAGATCTAAGAAACAGCTACAGTAGGTAAAGAAACAACCCAGAAGGGACCCAATATTGGGTACCAAAACAACAACGAGCTCATTATAAATTCCTTCTTCAACAAAAAAAGAGAACACTTCCCTTTTTTGGTATGTGACCATCAAATTAACTCCCCCATGGCCATGAACAATTACATCCTACTAGAAGTTTGGGAACAACATTTTAGAGGATTGCATAGCAGTTCTGAATTTGCAGAGTATGAAATTGATGAATTGGACAATCTCTCTCAATGGCCACCAGTGAATTCAGTAGAAGTGAGGAATCTTATTCAAACCTTGAAACCTGGAAAAGCCCCAGGATCAGATCTAATCACTTCAGAATTAATTAAGAAAATTTCTGACGGGTGGGTACCAATTATAACATCTTTATTTGTAGCAATCGATAATACTGGGAGAACTCCCAAGGATAGGGGGCTGGCAATAATTGTTCCTATATATAAGAAAGGTAAGAAAGATCTTCCATCAAACTACAGACCTATTAGCTTACTAACTATATTAAGTAAACTGTATGCTAAACACCAGCAGTGGAAATTACGAGATTGGATTGATCAAGAGAACTGTTTGGCTGAAGAACAGGCAGGGTTTAGAGAGGGCCATTC